CAACTTCAATTATTTTCACCGTAAATTTTCATCAAAATATCGAATTAATATCCTTCAAACAAAGTGATATACCTTTGTTTATAAATCAGGATATTTTTTTACTATATTTTGTGAAGTAAATTTTTGATTTTTGAATGAGCCTTAACGTTTCACATTTTTTTTAGTCAGCAATTATATTCATTTCGTTTTGATAGCAAAGTTACGCATTCAATTTGTGAAATGCAAAAATTATAGTTTTTTTTAATTAAAAAATAAAATGCTTTTTTCAGTGGCAGAAGGTGAAACTGAAAGTTAAAGTTTTCAATGTGATTATCAATGTGGAAGGAAATCATTGGTTCATATTTTAATTAAAACAAAAGTTGAATATGTTAAATATTGTTTCAAATAATAATGCTGTTATCTACAGAGCCCATGTGATATGCCGTTGTAAGTCATGCGGATACGTTCATATCATGGGTATGATGCATTTGATGAATTTCGTATTCAAGCCAGTAAACATAAAATACGTTGATCCATTTTGGAATTATTATTTTTTCGTTGTTTTCAATTAGTGTGTTTGTCAATTATATCATTTCCATTTAAAATGAAAGTTATGAACATTGTTTGTGACTTGATTTCATGAAAACATAAGCATGTAACAGTTGACATTTGAAGAAAAACACACATAGTGCCGACGAAATAAGTGAGAAGGGGAAATGTTAACTTCCTTTTTTGTCTAGGGGAGAGAAACCAATGCTAATTTTCTAGTTTATTGCTTGAAAAATCTAGTAATGCTAATATTCAGTGTTTCATATATCGCTATCAGTATCCGTAAGATAACTGAGAGGGATATATTCAGCCAGATATGATACTGTCTAAATTAGACATTGGAGATGGTAAGCGTGTCTAATGCAATTTTGACACAATTTTGACACTCATATCTGGCTGAATATATCCCTCTCAGTTATCTTACGGATACTGATAGCGATATATGAAACACTGCTAATATTCCTTTATGAAAGTGCTAGTTTTCTAGTTTTTTGTATTGACAGTTCTACCAACTGTACGTTTGACATAATGAGATGTAAATTGAATATTTTTTCATTTGTAATAATATAAATTTTTATTTAATTCCACTTTTTAATACAAAATTGTGCAAAAAATGCTTGTTCCTTTCAATAGTCGAGTTATAAAACTTATTTGGTCATCGAATGACATATTGATGAAACAAAATCAAAATGGCGAATTAACTAATTTTTGCTAATTTTTCTAGTTTTTACATGGACTACAAAAAATTTAGCTAATGGCTTCCGTCCCCTAGGTTTTTGTTGAAAAGATACTAAAAAAGTTCGAAGGATGTTGCGCATTTCTTGTGTTCACTGTTAAGTGATTTTCATATAGCACATGATTTGTGCCGAAACTCGGCCAAAAAAAAATTTCATCAAAATGAAAGCGGATGAAAAAAGGGGGGCAGGGAGCAAACCACGAAGAGACATGATGAAATTAAAAAAAGCAAAGTGGAAATGAATATTGCATTTGAAAGTCTTCCAAAATCTCGACCATAAAAATCACGACACTCAATAGCAAGTAAGTACCAAATGAATATTTTGCACAATGCACATATACACACAAATGTGAGAGAGATATGAATAGAATGAGTTACAATTATTACTAAATGCAACTTACTAAAAATAAATGAGTCGATGTGGATTTTATGCTCTGGTCATTAAAAAAAAAAACAACAACGACGACGAAACGAAGCAACGACAATGACGACGACAAACTCGCAAGCACAACAAACCGAATAAAACGAATACGTAACAAATATAATGCGCGTCGCATTGCCTCAATCACATACAAAATACGAAAAGTCAGTTTATTAATAGAAATGTCTTTGTATGTGCATCTCTTTTCGAAATGTTCAATTTAAGAAGCAAACGACGACTGCGACAATAAACGTCGGACAGAAACGACGGCAACGGGCATACGAAGAAGAGGGCAAATAAAACGTACCACATAAACCATACTCACAACGCTACACCGTATGCTGAGAGAAGAGGATAGAAACGAAATACACATGAATGTTTATACATAGTTGAATTTTGTTCGTCCGTCACGAGTGTGATTGAAGAACATTTGCATTCATTGATAAAAATGTTGGTGTTGTTGTTTCCGTATTCGGTGATTCGATGTAAACATGCTTAACGCGACAGTGAACGACCAAATGCTCAAAATATTGCGAGCAATTTAATGAGAACATATGAGCAAACAGGCATAATTATTTTGTTTGCGCATGCATATGTTGACGCAGATACAAAAAGGTTCAATTGAAATGACAGAAAGAAAGTAAAAATACATTTGTTGATGGTATTTTGCCGCTTACTTTGAATTTCAGCTATTTTGAGATGCTGATTTTAACGATCCTTCGATCCTACATGTGCGAATCGGGTTCGGTTACTGTCAATGCCGTTGTCGTCATATTTTTTTTCTCCTACGTTCAACATGTGCTATTAATCATTCACATTTGTTATGATGACATCAAATAACATTATTTTTTTCCTCACTTATCAATCCCGAGGCAGCCGACACAGTAACGTCATACTTTGTGCACGCTTACACTCTGATAGATTTTCTCCATTTTGAATTCAATCAGCCGAAAAAAAAACAATAACGACGACACCGAAAAAATAAGATAAATTGTTACCGCACTATACCCGTTACACTGCTGTTTTTTTTTTAAATATATTGAATTGATGTCTTTTGTCAAATTTCGGTTACAAACATTATGCAATATAATAATCGATAAATATACGCTACGGAAATTTAGCACAAGAACCGTAGAAAATACAAAAGAAGCAAAGAAAATACAGCACTAAACAGTTTACACTTCTCAAATACAAACTGAATCACTTCAATATATCGTGACTTCCGATTTGTGTATTTTCTTCGTCAGTGATAAATAGAGCCTATCAAATAGTTATTAAGCCAATGAATAAGATTCGAAGAAGTGATGTCTAGAAACGGTACAAAAAGCGAATAGTACTTAATTAGCTGTTAGCTTTTTTGATGCGTTCTTAACGCGGCGTCTCCATCGTGTTGCTTTTGATCGAAAGCTTCATTTATACAATTGAACGTTTTTTTTTTGTGTCTCACATCACAAATAGAGCACGAAAACCGAAACAAAATGCTACACCGAGAGAATGGAATGGGGTTGTGGTTCTGTATTCAATCTTTGCTACTAACTAACACTTTCGATGCCAGTTATTGTCAATGGTTTGCAGTATACATTGCAGTTTATTTACAAGTGACAAAAGGGACAATTTCTTTGAAGGTCGTTGGGCTTCTTTAGACGGGAACGAGAATGTGGATGGTGAGAGAATAAAAGAGATACATACCACGTTGAGATATAAAACGTTCTTATCGAAACTGAAGCCACGAAAAAGAGCGGTGGTGATGTTTTTATCGGTTGTTTCCATGCTTTTTATTTCATTCGCTCACCAGGGCGATTTCTTAGTTTTTCTTACTTTATCTTTTTTCGAGTGTTTGCAAAACGGGAACGCATTGGTGTTTGTGTCTCTCTCTCTCTCTGTGTGTGTGTCCGTACACGCGAGTAAGCCTTGTGTGTGCAATTGTGAATGAACAAGAAAAACGAAAAGTATACATGTATATGCGCTACGTAAGATAGCCAAAATGGCAATTTAGATATGATGATTTCCTTCACACTATGTGGTTAACGATAATGTTCGGCATTGTGCGATTTTCGTGTGTAGCCATAAACAAAGTGTGAACAAGAGCGAGCGAACAAACGAACGCTTGCTCTCCACTTAAATGTTCAATAGCAGAGACAAGAAATCGATGTTTATGATCGGTGTTTACGATAAGAAAACCCATGAAATATGGCCACCAAACACTGGATGGGGACACGCTGCAAAAACAAATAACAATAACACCAACTTACTTTTATGACTTTGTATTTTCACGCGCTGCATGCTAGTGTGTTTGCTCGAAGCCAAAACAAACGACTTAAATATTTGGCTGGCATGAAGTAAGAAAAGGCGTTGCGATTTTAAATGGCCGAACGACACTGCTACGGAGATATTGAATGGAACGAAAAACCCAGCAGAGAATGAGTGAGTTAGTTATTAGTTGTCATTTGTTCAGGCCCACTTGTGTAATAGTAGCGGCAAACGCGACAAATAAAAGCTTCAATGATGTGGAAATGCGTCCGATTTAACATTGTCTTTCCATACAGCTTGCTTTATGCTCGACAATCCAAATATAAGCATCTGTCATCATGGGCATCCGAATTCGATTATGCTATCGCCGATATTTGAACATCAACGCACCAGTAAACCATTTAGTTATCGCTATTTCGATGAATTTAAAAATCAACATACCAACATCAAACGGTACCGCACAGAATCCGAATCGCTTGTATTTAATTGAATGTTGGTGGATTTGTGGTTTTGGCGATAGCCACCTGCATAACTTTGTCGAATGGGAGAAGGGGGAAACAGTTCATTATAATGATTATACACAAATATCGTTTTTTTTTGTTGTTCAAAACAATAACAAAAATCAATTTTATTATTTCACTTTTTGACTTTTTTAGTCACAAAATGTCATATTATGTTTTTACTATTTTTTTTAAATTTAAATTAACATTAATTCGCGTTAATATACAATACGGATAAATTAATATGGATTTTATTCATTCGATTGTTTGTTTATTTTTTTCTCTATTCTCTCTTTTTAAATATCGATTATTTACAAATTAATATTTGGCTTAAAAAAGTTAGCGTTGATGTGCGATATTAGACAAGGAAGAATAATCTACTCATTTTTATATCATACTGATTTTTTTTTCCGCTTTTTTTTTCAAATTAAATGTTCAAGTAAAATAAAAATGAGAACGAAGAAACAAGAAAAGAATGTTCCGTCATCGTAAACAGTAGACATTAACTGAATAAATTGATAGAGTGTTTTGTTAAGAAAGAAAAAAAAAAGAAAGAATATGAATATTTGTTGTTTGTTTCTTCGTTTGTATTTTCGTTTTACGTGTAATATCAAGATGCATATTATGCTATAAAAGATGTATGCGACGTATCGTCATTCAATTGTTCGTAAATAGCTAAATAATTGCTGGAGCATTGCAGAGCCCACAATATCGCATTTCCTGTAGAGATTTTATTAGTATTCACTTATTCACGTACATTTAATCATATTACATTTGTATTATATTTCAATGTTCTTTTGCTTGTTCGTCTTTGTTATTTATTTTTCCTCTCTTCATTTTCTATTTGTTTGCAGTATTTTGTTAAGTTGCTAATAAGTATTTCTCCAATGCTATATGCTTTTCTGCCAAAATGCATTGGCCATCAATTTCAAAGTTTCTTTCATTCAATTCATATACATTCACATAAACATGCACAGACACACTTAACATCAATTCGTATGCGCCAAAAGCTTGACAAATATTAACAATCTAATGATAATTTTCTTTTTTTTTTATTGCGGTGTGTCCGCATCTCTGGGGGGGGAGGAAGGGAAGAAACGCGGACGCAATATGTGTCCACGACACATGCTGAGCAAGAGCAGAGCAAAGAGAGTTATGAGAAATAGAGATAAATCGGGAATGCATAGAGCAAATTGAAATCACAAGTGAATGTCACATAGAAGCAAAAGTAAATCAAATTTATCAATTTTCTTGTGTATTGAATCGGATGTTCACCCCCTGCAATTATTTAATGCAGTGCTTGTATTTTGTCTATAGCGATTATTCGTGTTGCAATTTGTTATTACGTACTTATAGTATACAGCAGGGTTAGTTTAAATTCAATAAATTCATGATGTTATTTCATTTGAAATGTGGGGTTTCGAGTTGAACAACTGGATCACCGCACTCGAACACTTTTCTCTTTCTCTCTCTCTTTTTCTCTATTTCTGTTTCTCTTTCACCTCTCACCATCAATCTTTCATATTATCTTCGTCACTCTCTATGTTTTCGGTTCACACATGATTTGGTATCGGAATTTTTGGTATGAATCCATTTTAATGGAATATCGCAGTGAATAAGTAAATGCCCGTAATATACGATAACACTGTTAATGGGATGAATATGTTGATGTGATTGCCAGCCGATGGAGACATTGAAGATGAATCTGCAAAATTGGAAAATTGTATGTCAAGACCAAGGATCAAACAGAGCCAAAATTCAATTTGAGAAATTGGTCGAGTGAATGAACGCACTAACTCGTGAAACTCGTTCACTTGCTCAAATAAAATGCAAGTAAACCAAAGAGCAACCCAATTTGATACAAAATTTTAAAAAAAAGCACACATACAAATTCATCTGACTTGTTATTTACCTGACGCCGAATTGTTTGTTGATCGTTGATACTCCGTTCCATTGATGTTCAAAAGGCAAACGAAACTCGTTTGATTTGTGTGCACGGTGGCAAATACCGTTGTTGAATAAAGACCGGTGGCATCATCGTAACGTGATTTTGATACAAACTTACCGGTGTCTGGCCTGCAATCAATCCATAATGAATCCATATTGGGGATTTAAAATTGAAGATAAATTGAAGATGAAATTCGAGAACAAAATATTCAAAGAGAAACAACAACAAAAAATACATACAAAATGGTTAGCTTCGGTTCTGGATAAATGTTTTTTGCAATACATTCGATGGACAAGGCGTCTTCATTATCGGTGTGTTCAGCAACATTCAATTTAAAATCCGTTTCGGGTACAATCATTTGCAAATGTTTTGAACGTTTGTCATCATTTTTGTAACTACCAATTTCGCATGTGTATTCACCGGTCATATTCTTCATTGGTTTAATTATAGCGAGGGCACGATGTCGTTGCAATGCATTATCCGACGCCGTATAATTAGTATCGATGAATGGTTTTATATGTGTCTATAACAGAGAGAGAGACATGTATAAATTCTAGAGTTTTTTTTTAAATCATCATCTATTTAATTTATAAAATGAATAGAGCGAAAAAAAACATAAATATTTATGGAAAAAGGGCAGTGAGTGAAAAAAAGAGACATAATCAATATGAATCGAATATCCTTCCAACACAACGGAACGTGCTATTTTGTGACATTTGAACGCAATTCAACTTACTTAAATGCACATATTCTACAACAACTACTAGTTTATTACAGGAACATAAGGATATACGGGCTACGTATATGTTGTTTAAATGCAAGGAAAATGTTAAAATATAAATCGTATGCAATATGCGATTGGAATACTTACGAATGCATGTACTGATTTGTCTGGTATCCATTGATAAATCAACGTTCCATTTAAATACCATTTTAATACGATACCCTCTTCACCCGGCACACTTTCGTATGCACAATCTAAAATCAATGAGTCGGGATTCTCCTCATCTTCGATTACATAGTGGCTCGGAACATTGAAATCCGTTATATTAACGGCATTACAAACTGTAACACGGCAGCAAAAACACCAACAACGAAGCAAGAACATGCAATGAAATAAAAAAAAAGAGAAAAAAAATTCATTATAATGAGAGAGTAAAAAAAATTCAAATACACCATTGAACTTATACATAAGAGCTGATAAATTTCATTTTCAATATTCAATTTATTTTTTCAGCACAAGTTTATACAAAGACAAAAAGGTAAACAGAAAAAAAATCAACGAATGACCAAGGTGTATTTTAAAGTCGGCGTTTTCGTTGCATTTTTATGGTATCGATTCGAAAAAGATTCAAGAAATCCGATCACAAGTCCATAATGGCTCAAGGATATACAAATTGTTTCGTCTTCTTTTATACATTTTTTCTTCTTCTTCTAAATCGCCAGCCATAAATACAGCGTGTTTCAATTTTAACAAGAGTTTCAGTTTTAATTCACCTTGACGAAAAAATCTGTCACATACCGACTTTTGGATTGACGTTAACTAGCACCTTTTAATGTAAATCATAAAAAAAGAACGTCAAAACATCCTGTATTTCAGCTCCTTTACACAGATCAAAAATCCGTAAATATCAAGCCAAAGCGGACAAAGAAATAAAAAAGAATATAAAGAAGAGGGCAAAGCAATATTTTGTTGGCTGTTTGTTTAAAATAATTGGAAATATTCCAAATGTAATAAATCTGGTGTTGGATGTCAAAGGACGTGAGGTATGGATTAGCATGTCAAATACCGTGTAAATTTGACGGAATAATTGCTGCATACACCCTACTGACATCTTCATGCTTTCGGCTTGCTGGTGCATCGATTCAGCGAGCTTTATATTATGCACCTCATACCAAATAAAGCGAATACAAAAAGGCCAAAGGCCAAACGTTCGACCACATTTTATTATTTGGAGTGCAACATTTTTCAATGAAATATAATACGGTGAATTCGAAGCTGGGCTCACATAACAATGGCACAAGAGTGTGAGCGAAAACAAAAAAACAAAACGACAATCAAAGTTAGAAGAAGAAAAAACGAATTGATCTAGTGTAAGAGAGAGAGAGAGAGAGAGAGAGAGAGAGAGAGAGAGAGAGAGAGAGAGAGAGAGAGAATGAAAGACATAAACCAAACCGTTGCGATTTATTAATGAGCTAAGGAAAGCCGAGTGAACGCAATGCACAATGACGAAAAAAAATATGGTTCTTAGTGGTTTGAATTAAGACACAAAGTAAGTTGTAAGATATTTGTATGCATGTTCCGTTGAGCGCATATGATCGCTCCAATTACTTAAACATTTAAGCGTACTAAATTGTTTCCTGTTTAAAAATATGCTTTTTTTGAAATGTGTGTGTGTGTGTGTGCGCAACGGCGACAGCGACACCGTCTTCGGCGATCTATTGGCACATTGTTCGGATCCATTTTGAGCACTCTATTGAACTGCACCATCATACAATTTCGCGGTTATTTTCTACTTCTGTTTCTCTTTCTCTCTCTCTCTTCTTCTCTCTCAAACATAAACACACACACAAGCTACCTAGTTTTTACTCCTTTGCTGGCATTCATCGTGATTGATACAACTTTTGCCACTTTTGCACCCGCTTCATAGTTTATTTCCTTGAGTTCCAGTTTTCTGCTTTTGTCTGTTTATTTATGATTTATTGAAAGCATAAGCATAAATAATAAGCGGTAAAAACTCAACTTCGACTAGAATTACGTTAATTTACTTTATGGTGCTTGCCATCAACGGAACTATCGGCAGTCTATCGCCCGCGTGCGACGTTTATTCTCTCTTTCTCCATTTCGTTCGATCTTTTTCGCTTCTCTTTCTCTCTTGTTCATTTTCATAACTTCATGTGTGCACACACACCACATATACATGTGTTAATATATGGGAAAATACTTTGGCGATACTTTCTTGCAACCCTTTTGGTATACTGCAGAAAATGCACCGACCAATGTAAATCGATGGTGTATATGGTAGCATGAATCTGAACACCGTTGTTGCTGCCGCTGAATCTTTTTTTCGTCAATATTCGCGTTAGACAATTATTACACGGTGTGCATAAGAGGCAAACGGAATGGGATAGCGAGCTTTCGAGAGAGAATGAATTTTGTGGAAGAAGCCAACCAAAAAACACATCGGTAATTTCAATATATGTGCATAGTCATAAAACGTGGAATATATGCACAAAATTATCGAGCAAAATTAGTCAAATAAGCCTTCCGAATCGCGATTAGGTAATAAAATGAGTTTTAGAGCGGTGCAAAAACGAAGAAGAAGAAGAGAAAAAAAAAACCGTAAATGAACAACAACAATAAAGAAAACAAGCCATGCACTGAATACAAATGCGCTTCATTTAGATGAGACACGTCGTTCCGAAAACCCGAAGGAAACAAAAGTGGCTTTGCTTGAGACAATGAACCAACCGCCTTCAGAATGTTACCGTTATAATGAATTTTTAAGAGAGAAAAAACGAACACACACACACACAGCAAAAACGAAAACAAGAAAATATTTATATAAGAGAGGAACGAAGATAACAAAAACCATAAATAATTCTATTTGAGTACGTAATTGAACTTATTTGTTTGTGCTTGCATTCAACCCAAGTGAGGCAATGGTTTCGGCTTCAATGCGTCGATGCATAATCTTTTGTTTTTGCCTTTGAAGAATCTTTTTCATTTTGTGAATGAATGAGAACGCGCTCGTGTATGTATGTGTGTGTGTTGTCTGTTTAAACCCGGCCTGAAATAATCGGTAAACAAAGAATTCAAAATGTGCGTTACCATCGTCCATTTTTGTTGGAAAATTCATTTCTCGAAAATAGCACACAACACTTTTTAACACATTTGATCCATAAAAGGGCAAGAGAGCGATAATGTCTGTGTGTAGAAAAAGGGAAAATTGCAGGCAATGAGATAAAAACAAACATTTCGAATTCGAATCATTCGGATTTCCTTTTGCTATAACCAGCACCAAAATTGTAATGTGCCTGAGGTCGCCATATGCAAAGATATATATCGTTTGTGGTTTTTCGCTTTTGCATTATAAGATAAATACACAAGCACACAAGCAGAGAGAGAAAGCGAGAGAGAGAGAGAGAGAGAGAGAGAGCAAAAGGAAGAATAAAAATTAAAAAGCGAAGAAAATTCAACACATGAATATATATGACGTAGTGCATATCAATTTATTCAAACGTCGCTTTTTTTGCATTCCATAGAAACTGTATCCGTAATTAGATGGCAAACAAATGGGAAAAAAGTAATAATATCGAAATAGAAATAGCGGACTACTCTGGTATTTTGTGTGTGTAAATGTAAATAAAATGGCCGAAGAAAAAAGCGACAATTGTAGCGGTCGTGTATCGATTAAGCGATCTGCATTCACCTCCATAGTCGAAATTATCATTGCTTCGCGTTACAATTTTATTTGGCTTTTTCCACTCCATATCTCGAGCAAAAGACAAGTTTTTATTTGAAACTTTATTTTTGGTCATCTTCATGTGTTTGTGTGTTTGTATTGAATCTCTCTCGTCGCACTATTATCAAATTTTAAATTAGCACAGTCACATACACAAATGCCCTCTTTCATTCTATGTCTCATTTTCTCTCACAATGGCCTGTGTTATGGTTCAAAGAAATTCTATTTGCCAACAAGTACTTATTTGCTATAGTTTTTATTGTTATTGTGCTATATTGTGCTTGAATTTAACCATTTGTTATTTATATTATTTTTTTTTCGTTGCCTTCTGTAAATGTATGCTGCTTTTATATGTCTTTATACTGTCGAGACAAAGGGCGAAATGTGTGCATTCACGAGATGTAGAAAAAGTTGAAAAGAAACGACTTTTGAGTGCGATTTTGTGTGTTCTGCGGCTTTCTTTTCGCTATTTTTTTCTTCTGATTTTCTTTTCAGTTAGCTAGTTTAAATCTTTAAAGTTGCCACTTAATGATGAATCTACAAAAAAGAAGAAAAAAAACAATAACAAAAAGCCACAATCAATTGTTGCTGTTTTGTTTTAATTGCGTCTCTGTACGGCATATTTTGTTTAAGACAATTTCCGTTCATGACTAGCTGAACGTCCTAATATGTTTACGATTTACACATCTTCAGAGTTAATTCGTTCAAAAAGTACTGCATTCTAATTCTATTCATTTTGATCACTGTCATACTAATTGGCGTGTAGAATATTTTTGTTGCTATTTTTTTATCCGCACACACACTCACTTTGTGCGATTCGTTTTTGTTCGAGTGGTTCGTCTTTAACTTTTGCCTTTTGCCGGTTTAATCAAATTCATGCATTTTATTTCATTTGGCAGAGCGCACATTTTTTTTTTTTCATATTTCTGCCGGTATGTGTATGTGCGAGCACGCTTTTTTCTACGTTCCTTATGCTCGTTTTTTTTGGCGTTCTTCGATGCGCCCCGAGTTCCTGTTTGGATTTTCCATATTATAATTTACGTGTTTATTATGATTATTTGGTGCGCTACTATTACTCGATGTTACCTGTGTGTGGCAGTGCGTTTGTACGATAAACGTGTGTGAGTTCGTTTTTTTTTTTTCGTTTGCTTCGAGTTTTACTTTTTTTTCTTCTGTACTGTGTCTTTCATTCTTGCCGTTGTGACATGCTTCGCTTGTGCATATGGAAGATAATGGGTGTATGCCCTATGCAAATGCAATGTGTTCCAACTTCAGTTGTTGTCTTTCTATTAAATCTATTTTTGTAATTCTTCTTCTATTTTTTTTTCTGTTCTCCCTTTACAATTTTTTTATGCTCTTTTCATATTCCGCACAATTCGTTTTTTTTTTTGTTTCATACCTAGAGAATTTCTCTTACTCTCCTCATGTGTGTGTGTGTATCTGTGAATTTTGTGAGCGCGCGCACATATGGATTTTCGCTCAGAATATAAACATTTGTTTGGCTCTCTCTTTTTCCTTTCCACTATTTTTTTACTAATCTTCAATTTTTTTCTCAAACATTTGTGCTTGTTGGATGAAAAATTTAAACACGTATTTTAT